GCATAAAAATTCACCCAAGAGATCAAATTACCAGTGCACTAACTTTTATTTAGACAAATTTATCAATTTTGATGAAAATAAACATAAATAGAATTTATCAACTTCCATGAACCTAAATTCATAGAATAACATACTCTCCCATAGCCTTGGTGCTATAATAAATCTCATCTATTATTCGCTTCAAAGCTATAGGAAAGCTTACTTACCTTTTACCTCCAAGCTATAGGTTAAATTCATTCACCCTTAGCCTTGAAGTTATAGATGTGACATTAGTACCTTAGCCCCCAAAACTATAGTTTTATACCAGTACCCTCACTTGCTTGACCCAATCAAACAAATTACTCCTTAGCTTTTGGCCCATAAGCCCGGGGTTCTATTATTCTACTCAAATTAAATATGAGATCTTCCTCATTTAGCTCCAAGGCCAATATTTATTAATTTAACACAATCAAGTGACTCACAACTCTTTGGCTCAATGCCTAGGCCCGCTCGTTTGACTCAATTAAGTAGGCAATTTTCTTTTCTAGTCTCAAGCTCTAGATTTTTATCATTTAGCTAAAATATATGATTTCATCCTTCATCTAAGCCTGCACATCTCTTTAGGATCCTTTCATTTTGAAATTTATTTAACCTTAATTAGATGAATTTCACTAAGTGATAAGTAAAATTCTTAGGCATTTTTACTTAGCCTAATTAAGCTTACTTCTTTCTCTTTTAGTCAAATACTAAGATAGCATATTAAAATCCATAAAAGCTACTTATGTTCCCTTTTGATGTAATGATGTAGGAGGGCCAAAGAGAGAAGAAGGGTGGAGAGGGGAGGCCGGTGGTTTGACTAGAAGGGAGAGGGTGGGGGACAGTTTGGAGAGGTGGGGAGGAGGCTAGGGTTTGGGAAGAAATTAGGTTAGGATGGGGTAGTGATGTGGTTTAATCAAAATCTGAAATTAAGATCAGATTTTGATTAAATTGGGAGGGAAAACTTCTGAAATTTGATTTTAAATTGAATGCAATTAAGGCATTACTGGAGGCTTAATGGGGTGGAGCCATATAGGGGCCGGCGGTATGGTGAGAGAGGGGAGAGGGGGTTTTTAAAACTGAAATTAATTTCAGTTTAAGTGAAATTGGGAGGAAAAATATTTGAAATCAATTTTGGATTTGAAATACGGGTGAGGGAGTAATTGAGCAATTAATGGGGGAGCCCAATATAGGGGGCCGGCGGCATCATGTTGGAGGGAGGGGATTGGGGAGGATGAAAGGGAGTTTCCAAATAGGTACGGAGTATTAGGAAATAAGAAAAATAAATCTAATTTGATTTATTTTAAAATTGGCTCCAATATATAAACTTTCCTAATTTGGATTTTCCCTAAATGGAAAGAATTTGAAATTCGAAATTTGAATTTAAAAAAAAAATGAATGCTAGGGAAAGGAGGACCGGCGGGTGGATGACCGGAGGCCGGTGACTAGAGGGCCGGCCGGCGGGTGGGAAGGTGGCCGGCGGCTTGTGAGCCCCAAGGAAGCCGGCGGCAAGGAGGGAGGGGTTCGGGTTCTCCAATGAAGTTGGTGGGGTGAGGATTTCTTGAAGGGGAAGATGAAAGAAAGAAGTGTATGCGGAATGTAAAGCCACTAACCTCAACACCACAACTACTAGAACTCACAAAGAGATCCAAGATGCTCTCTCCTCAAGAACTCACAAAGAGATCTAGGGAATTTTTGGAACTCACAAAGAGATCAACAAGAAAATTCTTTCATTCATCAATATTAATCTCATACAATAGAATAGGCCTAAAGAAAAACAAAATACAATGATGTGCATGCCCCTGGGGCTACTACTTAAGACAAATAAAAGCAAGGGTACAAACGGTAATACATAATATCAAAATAGAACTAAGCATCAAAATAAAGATTGTGAATCGTGGCCATCGATCTGCGCCTCCTGCGTTGATATACTCGTCGAAAACGTCTGTCGATGTCATCATCAGATTTATTATATTTTTAGTTTACCTATTTTTATGTTTTGCTTTTATTTGACATTTTGGTACAATATTATGCTATGATGGTGAGTTTGATACTCAGAGTTCTAGGATTTAGTGTTTCTTGATGCATTTTTAGGAAGAGATGCATAAAAATACGCCCAAGAGATCAAATTACCAGTGCGCTAACTTTTATTTAGACAAATTTATCAATTTTAAACATAAATAGAATTTATCAACTTCCATGAACCTTAACACACTCTCCCATAGCCTTGGTGCTATAATAAATCTCATCTATTATTCGCTTCAAAGCTATAGGAAAGCTTACTTACCTTTTACCTCCAAGCTATAGGTTAAATTCATTCACCCTTAGCCTTGAAGTTATAGGTGTGACATTAGTACCTTAGCCCCCAAAACTATAGTTTTATACCAGTACCCTCACTTGCTTGACCCAATCAAACAAATTACTCCTTAGCTTTTGGCCCATAAGCCCGGGGTTCTATTATTCTACTCAAATTAAATATGAGATCTTCCTCATTTAGCTCCAAGGCCAATATTTATTAATTTAACACAATCAAGTGACTCACAACTCTTTGGCTCAATGCCTAGGCCCGCTCGTTTGACTCAATTAAGTAGGCAATTTTCTTTTCTAGACTCAAGCTCTAGATTTTTATCATTTAGCTAAAATATATGATTTCATCCTTCATCTAAGCCTGCACATCTCTATAGGATCCTTTCATTTTGAAATTTATTTAACCTTAATTAGATGAATTTTGCTAAGTGATAAGTAAAATTCTTAGACATTTTTACTTAGCCTAATTAAGCTTACTTCTTTCTCTCTTAGTCAAATACTAAGATAGCATATTAAAATCCATAAAAGCTACTTATGTTCCCTTTTGATGTAATGATGTATCATTTCATCCTAAAAGGTGAAACATCTATGTCATTATCTTAGGAAACTGTAAATGATAGACTTGCCTCAAAGTAAACAGTGGTAATTCAATGGGCTTTTTCATAACCCTTTAAAGATATGGAACATGGAACTCCTTTAAAATCAAAATGAAAATTTTAATTCAAGCAATTTGAATTGAAATCACTTTGGAACTAAATTAAATTTCTACCTAATCCACAATAAAACAACACATAAGTAATAGTGTGGCAATAACACAAGCCAGTATACTATAGATTCACAACCTTTTATGCATTATAATATATATATATATATATTTGTCTTGTGTATGTGGTTTAAATATTTGATGTGGATTGATTGTTTGTATTGTGTGTTTTTATCCATAAGTGTTATGGTAGATATATATGTTCTTCCATGCATGTGGTCATGCGCAAAATAGGTAAATAAATTAATATTATTATTTAACAATATTTGCTTGTAGGTGCTGGTTTATATGCTAAAGTCTTGAATGGGCATGACCAGCAGGGATAAAATCAACTTGGCACCATAAGTGCCAAACAATCTGCGATGTGTGATATTTAGATTTATTACATGCTTAATATTTGTTTTAGTAGAAAAAGAGTCTTTTTTAATTATTTCCAAAATATAATTCATTTATAGTTTTACAAAAATATATAGGCCTTTGGGATGCAACAAAGGAAAGTTGAACCAAAATGATGAACCCCTAGATGCATCATAAAAAAAAAAAATTGATGATCTATAGGCTGATAAATTTAGCCTGGCTGTGTAATGCAGAGTAAGTGATTTGGATGTAAATCAGGCAGAGTGAGTCAATCAAAACCCATTTGGTTCTATTTGACTTGATTCGACTCTTTAAGGTTCAATTTGCATCAAATTAGCAATTTAAAGATGAGTTGATCGAATTAATTGAATTAAATTGAGTTGATTGATTTGATTTAGTTAATTTGAGTTTTCTCATGTAAAAAGAGAGTCAACACATCTTCAGGAATCTATGTTGTAATAGATTTAAATGAATCTCAACCAGACATGAAAACAATAATGAAGATTGTGAATAAAAATGAAAAGGAAATAAATCACTTATATTAATCTAGGTCTCTCTCTAATATAAAAAGAAGGCTTCCCCCAAAATTTTGATATTCGATATTGTCACCAAACTTGAAGAATTCACATCCAACTAGCACACAAGGTTAAAACTGAAATTTTATGAGGCACTAGATTATTTTTTACATGTGCTAGCAGTCCTTTTTTTAATTGCAAGGCCTAAAATTTCCAACTTTGAACTGATTTTGTCAAAGATCGACAACTAGCAATTCCTGGAATCTTTCTGTAATTAAAAATGGAAAAATAATAATTACCAAAATCTTGCTACCCTGCAAAATTGAGGAAAAAAAAACATCTATTAATCCCCTGCTATAAGGGCCAACCACACCCAAGGAAGTCTAGGATATTGCTATAGAGATTCAGTGGTTTCTCCTTGAATTGTAGCTAGCCAATAGCAACAACAGGGGAAAGCAACTGAGAATCTCTCAGCTGTATGGACCCATTAACATGGCACAACAATAGTTGATCCTGAAAGTCAAAACCAGCAATGAAGCGAATTGAACTGAGGTAGACATCATAAAATACAAATTGTTCTTTATGATAATGATGATAAACATGTTTACTCTAAAATTAAGTAATGTAAAATCAAAACTATGAAAATAATTCCACTAAAGTGAGCCAAAGTGGAGATGCTACTTAGTTCATCAAATTTCTCATCTCGTGACACATTATTTGTGTTTTTGACGAGTATAGAATTCCAGACTTGTATCATTTACCAATGATTCTTGGGTTGAAATTGATATTTCTTGGCATTGGATAATAAGAAAATTCGACCATCCAATTTAACTATTAGATAATAAAGCAAAACCGTCCTACCAATAGTTAGCTCAGTCAAATCGGGCTGAAACACATGCTTCTCTATTCCGCTTTATAACACTTCAATAACAATCCAATCAAAACATACAAACCTAAATCAAACTTTTTCTTGGAAACTTTTAATGGACTTACCTGTGTTCCATTGCCTTGTTCACTGGACTTATGATCCCAATTAAATTCAGGTACCCCAGTTTATTTTGGATCACATGTGGAGTAAAGCTGAGTCATGTAAAGTTGTGTGCACCCAACCAAGACGGATCTCAGCAATTTCAGGTACTCTATCTAACCATGCCTATGCTTAGTTTTCATCATCTTGCAGGTTTTCATAAAAGAAAATGTAATCAATTGGGATTCATGAATGTAGTTGCTGAGAGGATCTCATATGAAAGGGGAGAAACTATTGGAGACACTGTTGGTTATAAGGTATTTGATTCCACTGCATTCTATCAAGATATTGTAACTTAATTTAAATCAACTACATTCTACTAGTTGAGCAAGTTGACTATATTTGGATCTTGATTTGATGGGTTTTAGTTATGGATCTTCTCTATAACTGAGGCCCCGCCCCCCTCGTACCCTGCGTGTGTGCAGGGGACGAAGTGCTATGGAACTATTATTTCTTTCCTTAATGCACTTTTTGTTTAATGAACAATAAGTATGTACAATATGTATTTCAAATTGAACTAGCTATAATAATTGACTGAATTAATGTAGTACATGTAATTGAATGTAGAGTAAACCTATTTAATAGAAAATTTTGCTCCAAAAATCAAAATGAATGCTGCGTTCTCATTTTGTTTTGCATGACTTGAAAGCACCCTTTGTTCTATTAATGTCTGGTTTCATTTTTTTTTTTACCGAAGATGGAACTTACTTTGTTTGAGCACTCCCTTTTCCCTCTTTTTTCTGAAACTGGTGCTTGTGCATGTCTAAATAGATAGCTTTCTGTATGTTATAAATAATATTTTTATGCAAATTGGAAGGTGCATTTGTTGTTGTGACAAGCATAATTTGCATATGCACCAACGTTTAAGCTTTTCTGTAAATTCTTTTTGGGAATTTTATTCGCTTATGTATGTACAAACTTAAGTTTCTCTTGTAACTCATCTCACTTTAATTCTGTTTCATACATAAGAGGGATGCATTAGTTGTTGTTATCATCATTATTAGCTTTATCCAATTATTTGTGATCAGTATAAAAGAGATGCATTACCGGGGAACCAAAATTTTTGAGGAATTCCTATTGTTTAAAGCTTGATGTTACCAAATATGTGTTTTTTTATTTTTTATGACGTAGAAATCCATCAGAAGTATCTAATTTTTCTAAAACCACCTGTGTATGTTGTAATCACGCCGTACGGAGTATTGTAGACACGTAGTTGACAGAAATTTTGACATTTTTGTCCCTTCATTATGAAAATATTTTCTAACCATGCCACAGATATATTACTTCTATTTCCTTTTGCTTAGCTTCGCACAACCATTATTAAATCCATTGATTAAGAATGCTGATGGAGCATTATACGTTTCTCTGTTGATTTAACCTTATCTGGCTGAATCCGGCAAAACGGTTTTTAGAAAAGCTGTTTATACGTGGTAAGTGTTGATTGAATTTAAATGTTTTACAGCTTAGAAGATGTAGTTTTGTCTTTCATTCATGAAAAACTCTCTTTTTAAATTATAGCTTTCATTTCAGGGTATATTCTCCTAGTAAATGTTTTCCCGTGATTTTTTTTCAGAGTTAAGGAAGAATTATATTTCTTTAGCTACATTAGAAGAATAACTTGTGAAGAAGTTGTGGGCAGAACTTGAATATAAACCCACTTTTTGATGCTTAGCTGTTTAATGTGCCACACCTCCAAATTTTTTAAGGGGTTGTTTGGTTGGAGGTAAAATGGATGTGAAGTATTTCAAATGCAATGCAAAGGTTTTGAAAATATTTGTGTTTGGTTGGAAGAAAAAGGAATGCAAAGTAAAGTAAAATAAATGTAATGAAAACTATTTTAGCTTAATTTTTTAGGTAAAGAGACTTTCCCAATTTTGAGTGTGAACCATTTACACCGCAAGCAAGCTCACTTGACCTCTGCCACCCTTTGCCGCCCATCACTTCCGGTTGCCCCCACCAGTCGCTGCCTCCACCTGACGCCACCCGTTGCCAACCAACTCTATCGCCGACCACCTCCACCACCAACCACCATAGCCACCGTCGACCACTATATTGTGACTTTAAAGTACATTTATTTACTTCAAACCAAACAAAAAAAACATTCACCTGCATTTACTTTAAACTTATCCAAATAATTCCAAAGTATTCCTTTTAAACTGTATTCCTTTTACACTGCATTCCTTTTATACTATATTCTTTTTTTAACCCACCAAATAGCACATAAAAAACGTTTTCTTTGAACTTGATAATTTATTTCACTTGGTTTTGTCTTCTTCATATTATGGTGTTCTTGAGTTTTAATCATTGTACTTTTGAACATTTATTAACCTTGGTATTTGTGTAATCTTTTTCTATCATAACTTGACAAAGCATGAGTGTACATTGTTTGGTATTTCATATTGGCATGTATCTTTTATGGACATCCTTTTAGAAGAAGGATATATGCCTTATTGTGTTCTTACATATTCAAAATATGTGACACAAGATTGATTGCTGAAATTGGTTTATGTGATTGGGGTAATGCAATCATTTAGGCCTTTTTCTGCGATTTAGTTACAGTATTTTTGACATTTTCAATTTTTTTTCATACTAATTTTTCTAGATACGGTTCGAGTCCAAAGGTGGGAAAAATTCTTCAATAATGTTCTGCACAAATGGCATTCTTTTGAGATTACTAATCGGCAGAGGTGCAAATACATCGGAAATGGCAAACAAGAAGATATCAGGGAGGGATACTCTTCTTGAGATAACCCACATAATAGTGGTAATGCTTGGCATATCTTGGTAAAAAGTAACTAAATTTTGATATTTTTATCAATGCAACTTCAGGGAGTTTTAGGAATGCACATTATGATCTGATATAAATGAATTGTTAGCCAGTTATCTTTGATGATTCAGATACGCAAATCGATCATTTATATTTGCTGAGTGAAACTAATTGATTTTACTACATGTTTGCATATGCATAGGAGAAATTAAGTTTTTTTAGACTGAAATCTGGGGAGATACCTTCTTTTAAAAAAAATGAATGAATGAAAATTTATAATGATATAAAAATCACGAAGGACATTTGCAACAAAATAGCTAAAGCATTACACCAAAGCACAATATAAATTTATAAGCTTATCGGGAAGATTGGTATCCTGCTTCCTTTTGATAATGTGGATAGCCTTTTTAATATGAGTAGTATCCATGCAAAAATAAGCTTGGGATAATATATATTGAACTTGGCAACTTTTTCTTCCCTTTTTATTAGAGAAGCATCTATCATTCCTCTTCTTTTAATATTACACAATTGATAGAAAAAAATATTCTAGATTTTCTTTAGGTCTTTCTAGAAATATGAATCTCACTATTGCAATTCGTTAGACTTAGATTCAAGGCACTACCTCTCAGTAGTCCTCATCTTAGTTCTAATATCCAATGTTGTTGACATCAGTCACTTTATAAGCCCTCACCTTCTACGCATTTCCTTCAATATATATCTTTTGAATATAAGCACAAACATTCTTATTTAAAATTGGTCAACTTAAACAAAAATTTGATTTAAAATGTAAAACCTAATATAGGATAATTTGAGTACCTCTGAGTTTTCTAAGAATCAAGTACTCCTACATTTCATTCCTTTGATTTCCATTCCAAATATGATTTCAAGTTGTTCATTCCTTATTTGAAATTCTTAAAGCCCAAATCTTTAAAATTTCACAAATTTCAAAATGAAAATATTAGCTAATATTTTGATGACTCTCAAAAAAAGAGAAACCATTAGTTTAATCAAAAGTGTTCTAAAGTAACAAATGCTTGAGATGTAATTAATCATAGGGATTTGCCCCTATGGGGCATCTGTATCTTATAATAAAGTAAACATATTCAACTAAGTATTGAATAGGGAAAAATCTCTGTTAAAATTAAAATTATAAATTTTGTTATTGAGTCCATAGTGAAATAGTATTTTTATTCTTTGTGATAATATATTATTTTCTATGCCATGCTCGATCACAAAATATGCAATCCATTGAGGATGGTAAAATTTCTCCAACAAAAAGCATTGATTAGAGGCTTTTAGACATTGGTGCAGTGATGTGGCTTTCAACAATTGTGAATTTGTTGGAGCTGATATGCTAGATTTGCATTGGTGATGTGATGTAATTACCGGAGATTGGTTGCCAATGCGTAGGGTGCAGTGGGACACACAAAAGCTTTTTTTCTTTGAAGTGCAAAGCATGGATTAAGCGTGCACTAAGTCAAATATAACATATCTTAAGGAACATCAAATAGTATTATGTTATTTGATAATGTTGACCTGCATCTTATACCCAAAAGAATAAAAAGAAAGAGGAAACCATGAATCCCGTGTATATACCTTGTGCCCGTTGGATCCACAAAACCTACCGAAATCCTCTGCCAAATCCCATAAAATCTGCTCAAATCTTTACAGATAACCATCATACAAATCATAATTATGAAATGTTTTGTCATTTGAAGTCAACTATTGACAAGAAAAATTATGACCAAGAAGCAATCTTGCACGCAATGATTGAGCTTGCACACAATGATCTTGACTCTTGCTCAGTGGTCCTCGACTGCTGCTATCAATTAACTATTGCTTACAAGTGCTCACTCTCCTCTTGAATTGCATCCCTATATCTTGAAATTGATATGAACTCTAAACCTAAAACCTTAAATTTTCTTAAAGAGTATATTTTTTAAATAGATGTTATTTGAATGCATTTCCCTCATGTACCTCGAGGCATATAATCTCGAGGCATATTTGAATAAAAAAGTTGTAAACCTCGCGCCTAACATGGTGAGAAGTGCCTCCAGGTTGGTGTCTTAAATGCCTTTTGAAAGCATGATAGCTACCTGTTCAACTTCTTCACATGGAGGCTATATATACTCCCTTCACTTTATTTTGGATGAATTTGAATCAAATAAAAAGCTTTGCTCTATTTTATTCTTGAACTTTTCATATGCTAATAATTTACTTTCTGCCGTAGTAGTTTTTTTTTGTTGTCTTGTGTTTGTTTGTGGTGATTCTTCTTGAAATTAAAAATCTCTTTTAATTTTTATAAAATCCTAGGTAATTAACCAAAGAAAAATAACTTCTCTGATTTACTAAAGTTTAATTTGGATTTAAATGAAGAACATTAGGCATTGGTTAAGCAACTCATTGCTTCTCTACCTACATTTATTAGAACTTCTTTTGTCCTGCATGATTAAAGCTGGTACAAAGTTCTTTTTGGGACCAAAAACCTCTTAAGAAGTGATTTCTTTTGCTGTTGCCTCAAAAAGGGAATGACCACCTCCTCTTGATCTATGGCAGTCAAACAAGCCTTTATGAGTTAGGAGTTATTTAGAGTGATCGGTGCAGATTCTGTCGTTGTATCATTTTCTTTTTTTTTTCCTCCTCTTGTTCCATTTCTTTCTAACCTTGAAGTTGTTCTAGAAGTTGTTGCAAGTAATTTGAGGTTCTGGTAGTTTAATTTCATGCAGAGCATGGACATCCACGAATCTGTCTTCGGAGAGTGATTATTTGTCTGATATAGGTGGTACTGTCAATGTGCTAGATGACATACTTATTCTTGAGTATATATTTCAATGCCAATTTGCTATTCCAAGCAGTTCTTAAGTTTCATTGTAATAGTAATGCTATTTTTCTACACGGTCATTCAAAAGGTGAGGGAATAACACGTTTGGTCACAAAAATGCTTTTATCACATGAATTGATAGCTGTACTATTGAAATAAATGCTATATGAATTTAATCATGAAGATATATTTTGCATTTCAAATGTGTCTCAAGGTAGTTAAGCCACAAAAAACATAACGTGCTTGATGTTAGTGTGGATTTCAAAAGACAAAGCAAAATAATTGGATGATGTATCTCCATGATTTTCTGTATTTATTGTTTTATATGTTCGTTCACTGTACTTCGCAAGTAGCTACATGGACGTTTTTCTTCAATTTCTCACATATCCTTTTGGCTGGTCATAGATATGTCTTTGAGTTTTTTTAAAATAAGATACGATCTTATTACCCCTATGGTTCACTGGTGTTGTTTTGTTAGGTAGTTGATCTCTATTATAATAGTATTATTTTTCCCTTTTCAGGATGAGATTCATGAGCGTGAGAGGTTTTGTGATATAATGCTTGCAATTATCAGGTAGCTGATCAGATAATTATCAGGCTATTTTATTTCTTATTTGTTGTTTGAGTATTATATTAGAGTCCAGTCTTTGAAAATCATGAATCTCTATCCTTGGCACCTACCGTTTCAGTAATAGTAACACATTGAAGTATGCTAAATTTGTGAAAATGGCGATCAGATGAAATGCTCAACATATTCGAACGGAATTATGTTGTCTTGTTATATGTTTTGTATGATCACAGGAAAATGAAAGTATTATGTGAATAAGTCATGGAAGATGCAATCTTGCAGATTTATGCGCAGTTATATCTGGTAACAGTTTGGGGAGTCAACCATTATTATGGGGTGTGACTCCATGCTAATACTTATAATCTATGTTTATTTCTCTTCCTCTATCTTACAACCCAGTTCCTACACTCTTTTTATTGTTTGTAATTGTGTTGCTAAATTAACATTGGCAAAAATTTTCTGAAAAACGGTAGATTCTATGTGAAAAATTGGTCTAATGCTGACATACTTCTAGTTTTCTTATCCGCAGTTTTGCTGACAGTTGATGCCCATGTTTCGCTGAAAACAAGTTGTTGGTGCCAAATTTTTAGTTATTTTTTCTCTTTCTTTGAATATAAAAAAGGCATGATCAGGATTGGAGGCTTTGGCCAATGCGGGCTTTGGAGTGGATTGAATTAAGCTGTCGCAAGTCTGGATAATAATATTTTTGTGGAGAAAAGGACCAAAATAGTCCCTATCTCTTTGTGAGGGGTCATGGTCCCCAGCTCTTTAAAAAAGGGCATTTTTTATCCTAACATTAAATTTTGGAGTTAATGATGTTAAATCAAGGGATATTTTAGTCATTTTTAATTAAAGTATTTATTAAATATAATTTTCAAGTAATAGTAATTTATTTAAAAAAAATTTTATGAAACATTTCTTATAAAAAAATTATCAATAATTCTAGTTTTAATTTAGGATCATTATAGACTAGAATTAATAATAATTTTTTTTTATTAAAAAAATGTTAAATAATTTTAAAAAATATTACTTAAAAATTATATTTAATAAATAATTTAATTAAAAATGACCAAAATACTCCTTGATTTAACACCATAAACCTAAAAATTTGATGTTAGGAATAAAAAGGCCTCTTGTTAAAGAATTGAGTGATCAAATTGGTCCCTCAAAAGAATTGCGGACCATTTTGATCCTTCACAAAGAGTTGAATAATCATTTTGGTCATTTTATCTATTTTTGTGGATGTTTGTAATCCTTTTGAATTACTATTTTGTTGATCTCAATGCTAGTGTTGGGGTTGGGTTGGTCAAACACGATGAATTTTGAAAGAAAAAGAGCATTGTATCATGCTAAACTCACTCGACGAGTGTCGATCGAAAATGTTAAATTGCCGAATTGGTCTCCGTTCACAAAACAAACAACAATGGCGAAGATTTAAATTTCATGCGCAGGTGAATCGAGGTGACAGGTGAATCGAGGTGACGTTTACGTGCGTGAATGAGGACGATGACATGGCGACCTAATCAACGCATGATTATAAAAAAATTATCAATTTCATTTTTTAAAATTAATTATAAATAGTAATTAAAAAAAGAAAAAAAACCCTAAATCTAAATATTTCATAAACTACGCCACTTAAATCCCCTCACATAATCCACGCACTTCTTCATACACTCACCCTCACGGTAGTCACACATGCAACACTCGCTAGACTCCCTCTCTTCTCTCGGTTTCCCTTCGCCCACGTGCGCCCAAGCCACCGCTGCCACCAAGATAACTTCTTCTCCTTCTCTTTCTTCTTTTCTTCTTTTCTTCTTTCCTTCTCCATCTTCCTTTCTTCTTTCTTCTTCCTCCTTCCTCCTTCCTCCTTCCATTTTTCTTTCTTCTTCTTCCCTCCATTTCTTCTTACCCCCATTGTCTCTTCTTCTTTTTCCTCATCATTACCTTCCCAAAACATAAACCTAATCTTACCCTAAAAATTTGATTTCTCCCTCTTCAGCCCTCAAACCTACCTTTCTCCTTCACAAAAAAGTCTTCTCTCAACCTCCTACACCTTCTCCATCTAAAAGCCATCATCACACACTTTTTTTTCTTTCTAAACCTAGAGATAGCAAATTTTTCTCTCTAAAAAGATAGAAAATTCATGATTTCTCTTTTCAAACACTTCATTCAACACCTCTTACACCTCCCTCTCACCCTCAAATCCTTTACCTCCCTTCCTAGAGAGAAATTTTCCTCTCTTTCTCCAAAATTTAAGAGAGGGATTTTCTCTCTTTAACATCACCCTTCTCTTCACAAACACATTCCTAAACTTCATCAAAACCTCCCTTGCACCCTCTCTCTCTAGACCCCATTATATACATGCATATATATATAATTAAATAGAATAAGTAATAATCATAGAAAAATATTTGTGCATCGTAGGTCTTGCACGTCGCCTCGCTATTTTAAAATTTATATGCATGATATAAGTAGTCGTGACCGTTTTTATTAACGGACAAGAAAATTTGTATGCATAAATTAAGTACTTATGACGTCTTTTATTTGCAAGCAAAAAAATTTATATGCATGAATATAAGTACCTATGATTGCTTTTCCTATTAGACGGAAAATTTTGTAGCATAAAAATAAATACCCGTGATCATTTTTCTTAGCAGGAGGGAAAATACTATGCTTTATAAATAGATACTTGAAAACCAATAGCTACCTTTCTTGGCAGGCATGGAATGAAATTTCGGTTGCAATGTCACTTGACACTTACTGTGACTATCTTTTTTGGCAGGCGGGAATGCTTAGTACCCCTATGCAGCCCTCTACAAGAGGATGACGTCGGAGTGTTACCAAAATTTACAATAAAATGCACGGCTTAGACAAAATTTAGAAAAAAATGCAATTTAACTAAACTCCCAAGTCAACGAAATTAAAAGTGTACAATATCCTAGGTTTCAAACACTGAAAATAAAATTGAACAAACAAAAATCAAAGCACAACAAAATGAAGTTTGTAGTGAACTCGTAGGAGAACTAGTTTCTCACCAACAAACAGGAACCAAGCTACCCTCTTTTGGGTCCTAGCTAGTGCACACTCAAATCCTTTGCAATACGGTTCGTGAATTGAAATGTGCAAAGAAGTGAACTAGGCTCGGGTTCTCTATTGTTAACCCAAAATGTTGATTCCATTGTGAGACCTATTGAGCCAAACTCCAAATACAAAATGACAAGGGGAGGAGTCTCGAGTGCACAAGTGCCATAGGTAGCGTTCACGTCAGCTGTTAATTAAAGTCAAGAGACTTGTATGTGTCCCGTGAATGTTGTACACCCTATGAATATTTGTCTTCGAAAAGAAACAAAATAGCACACTGTTACATGACACGGGTTGTATGACCCTTCATTAAAGTGTGCACGACACGCTAAATTATCAAAAGGGGGTGTCGCCACGAGTCCTCTATTGCTAAACCACATGCATACATACCATGTACACATACTAAATGGTACGAAAGTGCATCATATATACATAATGATATATATATATATATATAATATATATATATATATATATAAAAGTATGTTATGTAAATGCATCAAATACCATACAAACACAATGCCACGTACAAAAATGTCTTGCATACATGCTATCTAACATGTTAATATATCATATACATATTATTCAACATTCAATGGTTCATGTACGCGCATTATGCAACACGCAATTACGTCATGCAATGGCATTGTCCAGTAATGCAACATGCATAAGCAATATACGATATGTACATGCATAATATATATTAGTCATGTAACATGTAAATATCTTACACAAGTATGTATGCAATATCCAAATATAGTAGGCATATTTATTGTCCTACGCTAAGACATGCCATTTGCACATCTTATGTCACATGCAAAATATATTATGCGCATACCCTATGCAACTTATAGTTGTAGCAGACATACACACCACACAAGATGCAAAAGAACTATGCACTCATTCTAAGCAATGTGCAAATGTATCATCATCATTATGCAAATCATGTAAGAACATGTCAATGCATTATGCAAAATACACTCAAAAGTGCATTTATCGCATGGGCCTTAACAAGCGTGACATATATGAGACATATGAGGTTTCTGCGCTGAGTAAATAAATAATGAATGAATTTTCAAATGTACAAAATACATTATATAAGTACATTGACATACATACGCATTTAATTTAAAATGAAATTTAAGATATTCACATGGGCCGGGGCATGACACGTGTCGCCTGAGAATGCTTTGTGTACTAAAGAAATAATGAAAGAGTTTTTAAGTGTGTGAAATATATTGTAAGTTCACAAAAATGGCACACGCACTATTTAAATTGAAATTTAAACGCCCACATGTGCTCCAATCAATACACTCAAATTTTAAACTCAAGATCTGAGAATACTGCACGGGTCAAAAGTTAACTTAAGTTCAAGTCCGATCCTCCTCTTTGACTGGACTGTAGTTGACACAACTTGAACCACTAAAAAATACATGATTGTAGTAGTGACTGGAGCATTTGTCTTTATACATTCACTTTATGCATTCAAAGCTTTTTATAAGAAATGTTCACTACTAAAAAAAAAAATTATTCAGATTAACGCTCATTGAATTAACTGAAATATTTGGTTTTATACATTCATATTAAACCTTAAAGGTCTATTACAAGAAATGTTCACTGCTGAAATAATAAACTCTCAGAACTGACACTTGTTGAAGTTAACCAAAGTATTTAATTTTATACGTTCATATTAGACCTTTAAGGTTTCGTAAAGTTTTAAAATGAATACTCCCGATTCTGATATTTATACGATAACTCCAAAAATTAGGAGCTGAATCTGATCCTTTTTTTGCATGCAAACAAAGTTGAGAAGGTTCGACTAATAAAATGATAATATCTATAAATCATCCCTGATGATGGCCGTATTGAAAGCTAATCTCAAGCGGAGGGGATCATGTTTTTTAAATACCTCCTAAACTCATGTA